GGAGGGGGAAGGAGAGGGTTGTTTTGGGTACTTTCCATTCTCCCCAGGATCTAAATTGCAGCTTTTCTGAGACACTTCCAGCTGAGAGAAGGCAGTGAATAAACCCCAAATTGACTAAGTCAGCTGGTGGAGCATCACCACAAGGAGCTGGTGCTAGAGATCTTCTTGAGACCTCCACAGCTCCAGGTTTCAGATGAGTTTTACAGCCTTGTCCAGGTTCTGATGTGCAAATCTGAGTGACTTAGAGCCATCCAGGGGTCTCACTTGATTGCTCAGTGTCTGCGCAGAAGGAGGTTTTTCTAAGGGGTACCTGTCTGACAACCCACCCAGAGTGCTGGGGTGCTGTGCTGGAGTGGCTTTAGCTAAAGAGAAGCTATTCTGTGATGCCCATCATTACAGAATCACAGATGACCACTGATGATGGGATCCTCCCCGTCCTGGAGCCCTTCCACCTTTTGGAGCTTCACAGAGGCTTCAGCAGCCCTGGCTTGGAGCCATAGGCAAAGAAATGCAGCTCCTTGTGCAAGGATACAGCAAGGTGGCTGCCCTGCACAGAGCCTTGTATCAGTACCTTGTCCCTGCAGGGTATGGAGATGATGTAAAGGGAAGCATCAACGGTCATAAAGGTTATGTTGGCCTATGGCCCCTCAAGTTCTTCAGTCTCCTGCTGTCCAGGAGGGCCTCGATCCTCTGAGTGCAGCTATCCTTCTGTAATACCAAACAGGAGACCATACACTGGCTGCATTCAGACTCCCATTTCCTGGAGGAAGAGCTGAATTTCTTTGTGTTGGGGCCACCTTTGAGCATGCTGCAGAGTGCCTTTGAGGGCATTAGCCTTCAGAAAGCCCATTTGGTATGGAGTTGTGTTTGGCCAAGAAGGACTTGATACTGCCCCAGCTCTCTGCAGGGTTCATCCCGAAGAAGGGAAGTGTGGGAAGGAGGTGGGATCTTGGCTCAGAGCACAGAAGTCTAAGAATTACAGGACAGGGAAGTGAAGTGGGGGGTGATCAAGCTGTATGAGCTCTCCTTGTAGCCACGCAGAGGGATTTGCTCGCAGCCTGGTGTGAAGCTCCCGAAGGCAGGGATTTCCCATGGCTTCCCTTGGGGCTCTCTTGCCCTTGGCAGATGAGTGCCTCCTCGAGCTGGTGCTGAGCAGTGAGCATAGGTAATGAGTGGAGAGGGCTGGGCAGTCGTATTGTGCTGGCCTTGAGCAGACAGCTCCAGCTGAGAAAACATCCCTCTACTATTCTTATCTTTGGACAGCCTTACGAAGAGCTTGTGGTGTCCAGGGACTGTGTGGGCTGTGGTGATGGTGGCAAGAAAATCAGCTTCCCTGTGGAGCAGTGGCTGTTCAGCTTCTTGGGGTTTCTCAGCTCTTCTTCCAAGTGACTCTTCTCTATCTTCTCCCTCTCATTTCTAGTCCTGCTCCCTTCTCTTTAGCTGAAACAGTTTTATTATTTCCTGGACCTCATGCTAACATTCATAATCTTTGTGAGAAGCTCTCCTCAGGAGATGCTAGCAGGATGCTCTCTTGGGCTGAAATACCCTTGTTTAAAAAAATATTATTACTGTGATTTGTAATTCCCAG